TTCTCCAATGTTCCAGCTAGCACCCCACCATATGGAAATACAGCAGAGGCAGCTCTCGGTATATATGAAAGAGATACCAGTGGGCATCTGGCCTTCTGAGGTACTAACTCCTGCATATGACAACTTGTGTTTCTCAGGTCATAGACTAGAATCGAACCATTGGCTAGTCCGGCATAGATGTAATTGTTTTCATCATGGCACCAGCAACAGCTCCAGACAGGACGTCTGGTATTGTAAGTCTGGACAACAGTATTGGTCTCCAGGCTAGTCAGTTTAATAGTATTGTCTAGAGAAGCAGAGAGCAGCAAGCCTTTGGAACGACTACTAAAAGCCAGTCCTCGGATCTGTTTGCCATGCATTGGAATATACTGACTGCTTTTCATGTTGGCAGTACTCAACATCTTAACACCAAAGCCTGGAAGGAAGGAAGCCTGAGGAGAAGGCTGTGATATCACCAGGCAGCTCATAGCATCACAGTATGCCATGATTCGGCAGTTTCCTGTCTGAGATACTGTGAAGGTGTTTTGGAAGTGGTACTTGTGCTGGCCCTGGCTGGAGGGCAGGCAGTTTAGGAAACTTGCCTGGGAGCTCCCGGGTTGCTGTGCAATCTGATCTCGATGCTGTATAACAAGTTTTTGCAAATCCTGGATGCTACTGTGAAGTTTAGTGCATTCATCAGTGAGAACTTGAAGTTGAAGTCGGCACTGTGCAGACTCTAACTCAGCCTGCTTTCTGAGCATTTGCTCCTTCAGTAAAGCACTTTTCACCCGCTCTTGTTCACTGGTGTCCAAAGCTCTGAGGGTTCGGGCATAAAGGACAATGATGTCATTGTGCTTGGCTTTCTTGTTGCACTGGTGACATTTTCATGCTTGTCCTTTAAGCCACTTAGAAATGCATCTATACCCAAAGAGGTGCCCACAGTGTAATGCTGAGAGCCGGTGGTCGCCAGCATTGGTCCACTGTTCCAAACATATTGTGCAAGTATCCCCTTCTTCTTCATCCGTAGAAGCAGAAGGTAGAGTAGGATTGGATTTCTGGGGAGACTGCTGTTTGGGAAGGGTCTTGTCTCCACTGATAAATGTAACTTCTTGGTCTGCTGAGACATCTCCCAGTTGCTCTTCTGAAATGACAGCTTCAGTCTCTTCTGCAGGGACAACAACCTCTTCATACTCTGCAGAGCTCTCACTGTCAGAATCAGAACTGCTTGACACTGGCAAGTCTTCAGGTACAGGATCCCTAGTCTCTGAATCATAAGATGCAGCTGGAAAGTGAGGCTGGGTCCTGCTCACCTGAAAGTAAGCATCCAGTGGTGCTCTCAACCTGGCATTGTCGGTCCTCTGAGACCCTGAAGCTCTTGCCCTCCGAGAAGTGGACCCCCTCCTCCTCCTTGCTCTCACTGGCCCCACACTTTGGTCTGAAGGTGGAGGTCTCAGAAATTCCAGCATTCCATGAAGTCTCTGCAGCCCACTGATGAAGCTGTTCATTGAATCCAAGGAAGCTGCTTGGAGAGTATGGTTAGCACCAGATCCCTGTCTATGCTCTTCTGAAGCCCCAGGATTAATGTTCTGCACATTATCTTCTGAGAGTTCCACTTCCTCAGTCAGGTCAATGGATATGTGTGGAGCAGGGTGGAGCAGGGGTAGTACCCCCTGGCTGCTGACTCCTTCAGCAGGAGCAGGCTGGGGGAGGGGTGGTCCCCCATGGCTGTTGACTCCTTCAACAGGAACAGGCTGGAGAAGGGATGGTCTTTCTTGGCTGCTGACTCCTTCAGCAGGAACAGGATGGAGCAGGGGTGGTCTTTCTTGACTGCTGACTCCTTCAACAGGAACAGGTTGAAGGAGGGGTGGTCTCCCTTGGCTGCTGACCACTTCAGTGGGAGCAAGCTGTTCTGTAGCATGATCTAACTGCACCTGAAGATCATAGTCCATTGCTTCTTGAGCCATCACTGATGCCGGAACGACGCGGTCCGGCTCCCGAGACCGCGACTTTCCCAGTCGTTACCTCAGCAGAACTACCTACGCTCCCGCACCAACCACCACTTCCCGAGCAGCTCAAGCGCCCCGCCTCGAGGCTCTGTTTCAAAAGAAAAAAATAAAAAGGTCTGGGGATGTGACTCAGTGGTAAGTGCCCTGGTACCAAAACAATAGGACAAATGAATAAGTAAATAAATAAATAATAACAAATTTTAGAGTTTTAAAGAAAAAGTCCAAATTTCTGCTGTTAAAATACATGACATCCGAGAGCAAAGTAATACAAAAAATTTGACAAAAACGTTCAATAGTCATGAAATTGTAGGCAGGACAAAATTGTAAAACAGAAAGCAAACCAAAACAGCAAAATCTCAACAACAAATAACAAAAACCCAAAATGATGGAACTAGAAGGAGACAGGAATAACCATAGTCATGGTATGAAAATTTAATACAAGTTTTCAAAAAAATTAATAAATCCAGGCAACAAAATTTTAAAATACATTTGATAATCTTGATTAATATATATATATATATATATATATATATATATATATATATATATATATATTTATATACATATATATGTGTGTATATATATATATATATATATATATATATATCTTAGATACTTACAAAAATTTTATTTATAAAATAGTGAGTTTATTTTATTTAATCTCTGGACCACTCAGAAAATTTGATCCTGTATTTGTCTACTGGGAAAAATTCCATAAAATCTAAAGAGTAGAAACCAGAATCTATATTTCTGAACAAAATACTTTAAAATTAAATAATAACAAATGGTGAATCCATCTACCATAATCCATCCATCTGGGGAAAAAATACACAGTTCTTTAAATAACTCTTGGGTTAAAGAGGAAATAAAGACAAACTATAAACCATCTATGAGTTTAAAAGACAAAAGCTCTTCCAATTAATACTTATTGAATATGGCTGAAGTGGCACTTAGAGGATTTTACAGCCTTTGTCCACTTATTTGAAATAGCAAGGTGTTAAAAGATTTAGTAATTAAGAAAAGAAGCAGTAAATACATCTTTAAAAAAGCACTAGGAGATAATAAACTGAATTAAGGACACAGAAACAGGGGTGGGGGCACCTCAAACGATGGACTTTGTGTACAAACCCCAAAGCTACTTCTTTGAGGTAGTGTATGAAGAAGACAAAACCCTTGTTAAGTTCTGATCAGAAAAAAAAAAAAAAAAAAGAAAAGTTGCAAATACACTTCTGAAATAAGGAAGAGAAGCCTTAGGTACCAGTTTGGGGGAAATTAAAAAAGTGTGTACAATCTTTGACCTTAAAATAACAAATTCATAACTTTCTTGAAAAGAAACATTTTTCCTAGAAAAATATAAATTATCAAGATTATTTCAGAAGGTGGTAGAAAACCTAAAGAGAGTAATAATATATTGTCTTCGAAGTTGACAAAATTATTTTAAAAAAATACCCTGGAAGATACAAGTCCTGGACAATTTTATGGGCTTTGTATCTTAAATCTTTAAAAACTAGTTAATCCCTACTATAAATAAGTAGATGAAACCATTCCAGCTCATTTATTATTCCATGGGATTCTAAAATTGACAACAACCACACATACATGTAGAATGACCACTATAGGCCAATCTACCTTATAAACATACATATAGAACATCATGTAAAATATTTTCAAATTGAATTCATTATCAACAGGTAGCATTAGTCCCAGGAACGCAATAATGATTGTACACTAGGAAAGTTATTAATGTATTTTAACTACATTAAAAAATTAGAGGAATCTGGGTGTGATGGCACCTGCTTGTAGTTCCAGCTACTCAAGAGACTGAGGCAGGAAGATTACAAATTTGAGGGTAGCCTCATCGGCTAATAAATAAATAAATAGGGCTGGGGATATAGCAAATCTATAACAATAGCTTAAAGCATCTGTACTCTTGAATGCCGAATGCAATGAGGTACTGTTCTATCTGGGAGGATCTTAGACACATTAGAGAAAAAAATGTAAAACCATGCATAAAGCATAACTTCATCTGTATTATACTTAAAAAACTAAACCATTTATTACACATGAAACTACAAAGAGATAATCCTTCTGGAGTTTGAGAAGATACTTATCATTGATAATCTTTATATAAGCTTGTGGATAATTTGAAATGTGTTAGTTATTGCATTACTCATATTTCTAAAAAGCTTCTCCTTTCACAGTCTAATTTTTGTAGAGGAAATATATAATTCCACCAGTTTATATTTTATATATTTTGTAGATGGCATGCCATTATGAAAGAGAAATAGTACAATGTTACATTTTTATTATGTTATGCTAATCATTTTTTTAGTCAACATTTATTGGATGTCTGATTGTGCATAAAGTACTCTATCCCTAGGCATATGAGAGGATGGAGTACATGTTCTCATTTCACCATTGCTGTGGCTGATTTGCCAGAAAGATCACGTGCACAAGTGGCATACACAAGAGGCATAGAGCACCCAGCTCTGGTACTTTTGTGGACGTTCCTAGTCTACTGAACAGAGATTCCTTTGTGATGAAGGTCAGGCTAGTGCTATTTTGTGTTTGGCAGATGAAAAAGTCACTGGTACCAAGAGCTTCTCTGAATTTCACATGCAGAGAATCCCACGTTTCTTTGCTTTGCCATGTTTACAAGATCTGTCTTCACAGAAAGAAGTCATTTATCTGCAATAACTTACTCCACAGCTAGCAGTGTTGATAGTCATTAGTGCTTTTATTTTTTCTGTGGGATGGTGACAAATTTAAACTGACCAGTGTACTATTTCCAAACTTATTTTTCTCTCTTAAGAATCAGGCATTTTCCTTACCTCACAGAGAGGTAGCTCCTCCGTCGGCAGCAACTCGGCACTCGGCGCCCGCGGTCCATGGACCGGAACCCCGGGCCGACCGGCAGGAACTCGGGCCGCGATCGCCGCCTCCCAGCCCCAGGCTCCTCCTCCTCGCTGCCCACCACCTCCTCCGGACGCCCGCTGGCCGCCCGCCGCTGCCGCCGGCCTCGCGGAGCCGCCCCGGGAGGCTGGGTGGCGGGTCCGCGGCTGCCGCGGGACTGAGGCCTACTCCGCCGCCTCTCAGTGCTATTGTCCCTGGGCCGGGCACCAACCGGGTCCGCTGGGGAGCGCCAAGTGCGCCGGCTCCGCGGAAGATGCCGGACCAAGCCTTACAGCAGATGCTGGACAGAAGTTGCTGGGTTTGTTTTGCCACTGATGAAGATGATAGAACAGCTGAATGGGTGAGACCATGCAGGTGCCTAGGATCTACCAAATGGGTTCATCAGGCTTGTCTGCAGCGCTGGGTTGATGAAAAACAAAGAGGAAACAGTACAGCCAGAGTGGCATGTCCTCAGTGCAATGCTGAATACTTAATAGTTTTTCCAAAGTTGGGTCCAGTTGTTTATGTCTTGGATCTTGCAGATAGACTGATCTCAAAAGCTTGTCCATTTGCTGCAGCAGGAATAATGGTTGGCTCTATCTATTGGACAGCTGTGACTTACGGAGCAGTAACAGTGATGCAGGTTGTAGGCCATAAAGAAGGGCTGGATGTTATGGAGAGAGCTGATCCTTTATTTCTTTTAATTGGACTTCCTACTATTCCTGTCATGCTGATATTAGGCAAGATGATTCGCTGGGAGGATTATGTGCTTAGACTATGGCGCAAATACTCAAATAAACTACAAATTTTGAACAGTATATTTCCAGGGATTGGTTGTCCTGTTCCCCGAATTCCAGCCGAAGGTAATCCTTTAGCAGATCATGTCTCTGCTACCCGAATTTTGTGTGGAGCCCCTGTCTTTCCTACTATTGCGACAATAGTTGGTAAACTGATGTTCAGTAGTGTTAACTCTAATTTACAAAGGACAATCTTGGGTGGAATTGCTTTTGTTGCCATAAAAGGAGCATTTAAGGTTTACTTCAAACAGCAGCAATATTTACGTCAGGCACACCGCAAAATTCTAAATTATCCAGAGCAAGAAGAAGCATAAAACTGTGACTTCTGTTTGTTCTGCAGTCCTCTCATCCTTATGAGTCTGTTGTGTCGTTTTGATTCCATCATTAATGCACTAGTGGAGACTTGTTATAAGCTGCTGCTCCTATATTTTTAAGAAATATAATAAAGCACTTAGGGCAGGGGAAATCCTCTCAGTAATCACGGAACCTAAGGATGTGATTCGTTTTCATGGTTTTGTGTGTACTTCTTTTGTGGCAGTCATCTAAACCATTATCTTAGCATGGTAAACCTGAGTTTGTTCATATTTTGTCCAGATATGTAAAGATCAGACTGTACAAATATTAAAAATGCACATGCTGTTTTATTCTAATGCCTCTTTTGTACATGTTCATGTTCAGTGTTTTCTTAGAATCAGCAACTTAATGAAGGTACTATGAAGATTTTTCTCACCGACATAATTTGATTACTTGCGAAACAGGAACACATGTTAATTTGAGGAAATGTAAATTAGTTATGAATAAGTAACAAACCAAAAATGTATGTAAACATCAAATAATTATCTGAACAAATGAAATTTTGTTGTGTTTTCCTTAACTCATGTGATGTCCTCCAAATGTGTAGGGTAAAAGTTCACAGGGCTTCCAGATCACTTTTTCACTATTAAATTTTATTTATACAATGTTGACATCTCATAATTCATAATGTAATTTTGACTCATGTAGTCTTGATTATAGTGTGTGTATATATTTGTGTGTGTGTGAGGATGTGTGTGTGTGTGAGAGAGAGATCAGATCCTTTGATCTCTGGAGTAAGATTTTTAAATCCATATTTGTAGAAATTAGAGCTGCCAGTTTATAGTAGTTAAACAGAGAATGATTTGCAAAAAAAATGAAAACAAAAAAGTCAAAATTATTTTATTCTCCTCTTTCATTGATTCAGATATTTGTTGATCACCTCATATTTGCCCCAGGCACTATACAGAGTGCTGTTGGATACAGTGGTGAACTAAGAGAGTTGGTCCTAGCTCTTACGGTGTTTATAATTTAGTGTCAGCAGATAGAAAAACAGCAGTGAGTATACCAAGGTGAGGCCTTGAACTCTTTGCTTTAATATCAGTCAATGAGGAGATAATTACGAAAACAAGTCCTGAGTAAATATTGAGGTCACTGTTTTTGACTCTGTCAGTTTATTATAGAAAACCAATACTAATGTTTTTAGATTTTAATTGCTTGTCATATTTGAGGCTAGCACCTTAATAATCATTGTTTAAGTAGTTTTGTGTTCACTTTTCAAAAGTAATTATTTATTTTAAGTCATTTTCAATAGAGTGGCCATCTTAATGTCCAGCAATCTGAATAGTCTTTCAATTATTTTCACTAGCTAAAATTAATTTTTAAAGGTAGTTATAAAAACCCTATTTATTTATTATTATTTTGTTCACAGTATCTAATGCATGATAATAGTAAATGTTTCTTACTGATAAGTGGCCACTTTCTTTAGGAGTGTAGCATATATAGGTTGAGCTATGTTAGATTGTAATAATATTTGTTAATTTTAGTAATTAAAGACTGGTGTCATTCTGTAGTATAAATGTCTTAATTTTGAGTTGTATGGCATTTATGTGAATGGATGTTGAATGTTAAAAGTTGTAATTATTTGGGGAGAAAAGAAGATTTGACTGAGTGAGTCTTATTAAGAACACTGCTACCATTCTGAAGGGGAAATATAAAATCTATGACTATATACAAAATCTTAGGTGATATAGCTGTAATTATAAAATATATTGGCTTTTCTTTAATTTTCAATATGAAAAGATATATTAAGTAGACATTTCCTGCATAGTTTTGTTATACAGAACAGCTTCTAGGCAGCATTTATTAATGTTACGCAAGCACACAGTTCCCTATTTACTCCTTTAATGCCCAAGATGGGGAATAACTTCTTGGGTTTATTGGCATCAAGGCCCTGGAGGGCCAGAGAAGCAACAACTATAATCCTTTGAGGGCAGGAGGGAGGCGTTTCTAAGGCTATGCAGAAGGAACTACAAGTGCCTGGGGACCAGAGTGACCTCTAGACCTGGAATGGAACACTTATAGAGCCTTAGCTTAAGAAATACCATGTGCCAGTTGTTCCGGGAAGGTGGCCTGCCCTGCCATGAAGCAACAAAGAACGTAGGCAAACTGAAAGTTGGATGGACCTGAGTTCAGATCCTAATTCAGCTTTTCATAACTGCATATGACCTTTGCCAGGTAACTTAACTTTTCTTCCCCACAGTTCTCTTCATACTGAAATGCAGATAATACTTAGAAGACTATCTGCAATTAACTGAGAAGGGAACAGAGGCACTTTCAGCACAAAATACGCCCTAAGAAGTAGTTTATTAATTGCTATTGTTTTTACACTCTAGGAAAAAGAGAATGAAGAGGTAAAGGAAAGGCAGCAGAGTACAAATTCAAGAGATGATGTGGCCTTTTGAGATGGATGGGTATATTTTGTTTTCTAGTTTATTTTCATATTGCTTTTTTGTTATTTCCAGAAACTTTAATGTTTTAAACCTCTTTTATAAAATTCAACAACTATTAGAAATCTATTCTTTGCAGAAGTTATCTCCATTTAAGTGGCTGAAAATATTGTTCATCATTACATGATTATCAAATGACTATGAAGAATATAAAATTAAACTTAGTGACTTAGTCACTGCCTTGCTAATTCTGCTATAATTTTTTCAAATGTCTTGTTTTTAATATAGCGGACTATCTCAATACTGGCTGGATTAAGTTGAATAAAGAATTTTTATGTTCTCTAGGTGTGCTTTGTCTGTTGAACAAATCCCAGAACTATTCATTAATTCTGTACCTGCGTATGTAATTGTTTTTAAATTTGTACAAGAATTCTAGTGAGACTTCTCAATATAAAAATAATATGCAATTTAAAAAGTAAAAAAAAAAAAAAAGAATCAGGCATTTTACATGCTCATTCCTTATTTTCAGTTACATCCTTTTCTTTTCCACAACTCTTATACCAAATTTAACTTCAGATCCTGCCAATTTGAATGCTGTGCATGAAAATTCTTTAAAAACAACAACAACAAAAAGCATCAAAACTCCAAAAACTCCTCTGTAGTAGCATTTTCCTGAGTTAGAGCAGACAGGTGACACAGAAGGGGTTGCACTAAGAATGGAAAGATTTAGATTTGAGGCCTGTCTTCCAGGACCTTTGACAAGTCCTATAACCTCTAGGCTTCGCTCTGTGTCAGCTGTAAAGTGGGGGTGGGTGGGTATAGGTGATGAAGGAAAAAGAGCTTTGAAAAGTATAAAGCAGCATATCAGCATGAGACTTTATATAAGTCCCTTAATCCCCTTCTTGCATGCACACACTCCAGCTACATGCAAGTTTTAGGTTTCTGTTATCTTTCATTTGTGTTCCTTTTAAAAGTCAGCCTCCCCTAACACAGTCAACTTTGTCTTTTGTCACATGAACCTGTTGATCTCCCTGGCACCTGAGACCTTGAATTGATATAGTTCTACATTTTAGGCACTACCTGTTTTTTGTGTGTGTGTTTTTTTTTTCCCCAAAAGAGGCATTTAGTTGAGTGTCAGAAGCACAGGATGTTCCTTTTTTGTTAACTTAGCCTCTGCCAGTTTTTTTTTTTTTTTTTTAAATCTGATTTGAAAGAACAGGGACCCTAGAAAGCTTGTGATATGTAAATATTTAGCCAGGCAGATAGGGATAGTAAGCATTTTCTCTCTTAACACAAAACATGATTTTATTTGCTAAAGCTGTAATCTTGTTTGATAATCCATCAGTTTATTATCAGCTATGTGGTGAGACATAATGCCACAGGGAGATAATCAAGAACTGCGCCTGACACTATAGGGTTGATTACAGGGACTGGAGAAGATAGAGTCTTCTGTAAAGGATTATGTTAAACATAGCCTTTCTATTTACAGTTGATTTTCTCCAAGCTCCTTAACTCTTCTGCTCCCAGCCTAGGTAAATAGGTCATCTGAAAACCTTCAAGGAAGAGGTATCTTTGCAAGTATAGAACAACCAGATTTTTCTCCACCAGGCCCCATTAAGTTATTGTTTCATGCTCAATGCATCTCTGAGTTGAAGGAGAAAAGAGATATATGATGGTGTTCCATTGCAGTCAGTATTTAGAACAAAACCAAACCAAAAAAACCTCAGAGAAGTACAGGTTATAAACAGAACAGGAAATCTTTACACTCCATTTGGACCTTAACTCTAAGTATTAGGTCCAATACATTGGCCTACTAAACTGAAATTTGAATATGACATTGATTTGCAGGACTATCAGGCTGTCATCAATCTGTGATTTCTGAACCAAGGGCAGAGACCCTCTAGGACAGGCATCTGGAATGCACAGTCCCATAGAGTTGCATGCACATATGTGATAAGGAGACTGGTGCCACCAGATTTCTCCAAAATGGTGGCACTACTTCCAGTCCCTTGTGGGAGGCAGGGAGGCATTTCATTCAACTCTTATCTTTGTCTACTCCATTCTTCTCTGTCTTGAAATTTATCTCCTCAAGATTACCCACTATGCAAAATGTCACCATCCACAAATCCAACCTTCATCTCACAGACCTGTAAGGTTACTCGATTGTTTTCTGGCCACTGGAAATAAAGCCTGTGTGGTTCTGCAGTGCTCTGCCATTATCATGCTTTCATGTTTATTATCTCGCTTGAGCCTTTCCTGAGATAGGGGTATGAGACTGAGTTTCAAAGAATTTAAGTATCTTGTCCAAGTTTACACAGTTAGTGATTTCTTCTTTTGTTCCATTCCTATCTTCTTCCTTTTCTTTCTCCTCAGAAGATATTTTCTTAAGAATGTAGACTCTGAAGCCAGATGACTGGTTTTAAACCCCTGGTTCTGTATAACCTTGGGCAAATTTGCTTGGTATGCTTTGGTCCTTAGTAGTAAAATGAAGATAACAAAATTATCTACTTCATGTAGTTTTAGGGAGGATAAAGTTGGTTATGTGCACTATTGTAATACTAAGAATAGAGTCTAGCACATATCAAACAATCAGTAAATCTGAGTCCCTATTGTTACTATTGTTGTTTTTAAAATTCCCTCATCAAATATTAATTGTCTTCTTTTTAACTGGGCATTGTGCTAGGCTTCAGGGATGAGTTGGAGACGTTCCTTTTCCATGGAACTCACTGTCAATAAAGAGACAAGCCATCTGATTAAGTGCAGATGTCATAGCCCTCATGTAACCATAGATGAACTGTGTGGGACCCCTGGTTATCCGTGCAGGCCCCTTGGATGAGGAAACCTGGCATCTGAATTGAACACTAGAGATGAAGTATATGCCAGGCCAATTGTCAAGGGATGGATATACCCAGCAGAGGTCTCAGTAGGTATGAAATAAAAAGAATGAGAGATATATTAGTTTTCTTGGACTGATATAATAAAATACCATTAGAGGCAATGGCTTAAAAAACAGAAGTTAATCTTCTATAGTTCTGGAAGCTAGAAGATCAAGATCACGGTATCAGCAGCTTTGGTTTCTTCAGAACCCTGTTCCTTGGCTTATTGATGACTGCCGTATTTCTGCATCCTCACATGGTCTTTTTTCTGTATGCACACATTCCTGCTGTCCTAATCTATTCTTCTAAGGACACCAGTCAGATTGAATTAGGGCCCACCTATGTGACCTCATTCTACCTTGATTATCTC